TGCAATTAATCCTCTTTTTTTTATTACTAATTTATTATCAGCTGTTCCTACATTCTATGCTGTGTACCTGAATCAGAATTTTAATAGCTTTCAGCACAGCACTCTCCAGAGAGCTTTGTTTGATAGGAACAAAATAATTAGAACAGTCCCCCACTGTTCAGCAGACTTTGAAGCTCTCCTTTTTACTCCTTTGTAATGTCTATTACTTATTAACAGCCAGAAAATAACATGAAGGCACATTTTATATATATATTTCCTGGTTGTAAGCAAAATACGTAGTTTAAAATAATTCAGCCATGATCAGAGTTAAAATGTTGCCAATTCATCAATTTTTATAATCTGAGATCTGTGGCAAGTTATAATTTCCAAATAACTAAGAATCCCATATTTCCAGTAGTACTTCCACCTTCAGTTGTGAACTAAAGAAGGCCCTTAAGAATAAAGGATATGGTAAGTATTTTCTTAACAGTGTTTCTTAAAGTGATTACAGCTCACCTGGTTTGGGCACTTCTAATCCTCTTTCTTTATAGAAGTCATGCATTTGTTTTTTCTCTCCTGAAAAAAATGCACAATACAGGTTGAAATGTTTCAGATGCTGAGGATATCCATTCTCATTGACCAATTTTCAATGGTTAGAGCAGCAAAAACTTTCCAAGTTTCTACAGACCTTCACCAGCACTAGTATTTCATGAGGCTGAGATACTTAAGAAACACAGACTGAAATTTTGTTAGTAAAAACTGGGAGAAAATCAGAGAAACTGGCCATAAATAATACTGAAATAGCTGCAAGAACTAATATCCTTCTGGCTGTCATGCCTTGTGACATGACACAGTATTTTATAACCTGTTCACATAGAGCATAGTACTTTTTATACTATATTTGTATATACACATATATTTTTATATATGCATATATTTTTTACATATATGCTCATGGTATTGCTTTACAAAGCAACACCATCTATAGTCCATACATATCCACTGGATTGTGTATTTCACTCAGCCTATCCAGGGGGACTGTGCAGGATCATTGGCCCCCAAAGTTGAAAATAAATTAGATAAGACAGTAAACACATCTAAAATCAGACAAGTAAACATGGCAATGAGGAAAAAAATAAAAGCATTTGAGAGAATCAGTCTTGGCATTTTTTTCTACTGAGCCAAGTGAACATTTTACACAATGACATGATATGGTTCTACTAAAATTAGAGGAACAAATTGTGAAATATTATCTGCATGTTTATCTGGATACAGTGACAGCTGTGTTTCATGAAATAAGGTACACACCACTACCTCAATAGCATTTAGCAGCCAGAAAGATGCCAGCTGTCAGTTAATTCATTACAACTTATAACCAAACATCACAGAACTATTTTGAAGAGTCCAGAGTAGAAACAAGGCTTTGAATTAGTCTGTTTTCTATTCTTTTCAATCCCTAGATAGTAATATTACAGAGAAAGGGACTTACTTTCCTCCAGATTGACAACTAATTTATAGACTATATCTTGCAGTTGTCGGTCCAGTCTATGAAATAGGAAACAAACAAAAAAAAAAAGAGTCTTTGGTGCAAGACAAAATGGTTTTAGTAAACTGTAACAAAGATGCCAAATATAACATTGAAATGGGATGTACATGGAGTGACAGCACCACCCTTCATGAACACCTCAAGAAACTAAAACTCAATTTTTTAAGTTAATAAATACATCATGCCAAAAAGTCTTCATCTTAAAAGGAAATCAAACCAAATAGTTAAGTGTTTGTATCACCAGTAACACTGAGCAAATGCATGAAAATACCCAGGGCAGGGGTAAAAAACCCTAGAAATGGATACAAACTAGATGAAACAATAAAGAAAGTCTTTTTATCTTGAGGTGAAACTCATACTAGTGAAGAACACAATGTGTTTCTTGTAACCATTCCTTTGTTTAAAATAGGAAAGCACTACGAGTCTGTAGAACAAAACATTTAAAAGCAAGTAGCAAATCTATAAGAATAGGACAAATTTATTACCTGATATTATAGAGGGGCTGTGTCTGATGTACAACAATATTGCACTTTGGGCATCTGTTGCTATAGTAGAAGTGTCTCACGATGCAGCTTTTACAAACTGTAAAGAAAAGAAACCCCACAGGAGTCACATGTCCTTCACACAGTGCCATCTGTTCAGGCAGAAGGGGTAAATACATCCAGACTTGCCATACAAAATTTGTCAGAGACAAAATGAAGTCACTGAACACTCCTAATCCAATGGATGCATGGGTGAGAGTTCAATGTGCGCGCAGAACATGAGTAGGGCTAAGGCAGAATATTGACTGCTGAAAAGCACCCTGCAAACACTTTCAGTAGAAACAAGGTAAGAAATCATAACTCTGCCACTTTCATTGTGTTTTACAAGTCCTTTAAAAACCTGGAAAAATGCTATTAAGTGGAAATACCTACAATAAATAACATACTATCAAGTCAGCTCCCCATCTGCCTGAACAGAGGAAACTTTTCTGTAATATTTACCAGGAGAATTCTAAGACAACACCACAGCTGCATTTCCAACTCTATGCTGTCCTTACTAACAGTTGTGCCTCTTTGTAAATTGCAAACTGTGCTGAATACTTCATGCTATAGAACAAACTAGTGAGTAGTGCTCCAAAAAAGGGGGGAAAAAAAGAGAGAGAGAAAAAGTTTTCCATCTATGCAGCGTGAATGTTTGGGAGATCTAGTAAAGCAGGATTCTCAGATTCAGGTATGAACATAGGTGTGGCTAAAGAGTCAGCCTCACAGAAGGTGTTTTATTAGTTTGGAGAGAAAACAGTTCTTTAGCACGGGGAAAATTGTTGGCTCTAGGATCCAGGGGGAAGAATAACAAGACAAGCACATTGAAATCAGTTATTTATTTCCCACCTGCTTCCATTCATCAGATTATGGACAAACTGTGCCAAGGGTGCAGACCACTGTTTCTGTATCTGAACTGGTACTTCCACAGGAGCTTATGGGGTTTTGTGAATTTACACAAGCTCACATCAGCAACAGTTTAGGAAACTTTCCAGTCCATTAAAAGTAAAGCCACTCAACTTTCTTTTCTCAGTTATACACTCAAATTCCTGGAGCCCACTTAAAAAAAAAATTAAGAAAATATACGTAGTAGCTCTGCTTTTGTCTTACTTGGGCTTTATCTTCTCCTACATCATCTTCCTTCTTAATATGGAAAGCTGACTTCATGATTGATTGATTTAATAACTTTCTGATGCTTAAAATACCCACAAATATGTCTTGCTTAAGGAACAGAATAAACATAACAAACGTTCACTTTGAACAGATAATTATTTTTCTGAACTCAGAACATTTCAACAGCTGAATTGGTCTGAATTTACAACTAAACCCTTAGGCAGACAATACTGACAGATACTTACAGGTGTGCAGACATTCTGTAATAGTTGTAGCATCGATAAAGTAACCTTTGCAGATGGAACACAGGATGTAGGGGGTCAGCTCTGCGAGGTTTATCATACGCTGCAAACAAAAATTGGTGAGTTTGAATACACAGTCTAAGCCATGAAATTCCTTGATTGCAGCTTCCAAAATACCACAACCTTACAACCATGGGAAAAAAGGGGATCAGTGTGTTAGAGGAATGGGTTTTCTGAACAGATCAGTTGCTTCTCATGTAGAGCTCATTTTTAAAAGACTTTTACCTAGTCTTCTAAATTGAGCTTTTTGACAGCAGTAATCCAATTTGTTTCATTTGAATCTTACCTAAAAAGAAAACTTTAAACAATCAATCATTTTGGGAAAAGTTTTTTTGGATAAACTCTTTTAACAAAATATCACATAGCCAGCAACCTTGAAGTGGACATGGGTGGCAAACATCATTATTTGAAAATGCTCAGCAATGCTCAGCTGGAGTCCCAAATCAAGATATAGAGAGAGTTTGTATGACAAGAGGCAGTCATCTCTTGTTTGTACACACAGTTATAAAATATACAATACACATAGAAGCAAAGGCTGAAATTTCACTGCTTTGAATCCTGGTCATGAAGAACATTTACCAGGAACGCACACAAGTAGTTCCACAACAGCTTTCCCCACTGAATAACACTATTTCAAAAAAGAACAAATTTCTTCAATAGCGCCGATCTGAGATGTGTCTGAAAGAGGTGACACATTAGATTCTTACGTTTCCTCTCGTCTCAAAGCCCGACTAAAGGGCTTTCTTTCCCTCAATAGCACCATTCATTTCGCCCACGTGCCACCGTCTACCACCCTCCCAGCCACGCCGAGAGTTTGTAAGGGCTTCACTTAAATGAGACAGATGAAGTGAACTCGGGTAATAATAAAATAAATATTACAATAATAATAATAATTTTTTAAAAGTAAAAATAATAAAAAGTCCATTATCACACGCGGGGCACGCCGGGAGCAGGGCCTGCGTGCCCCGGGCACCCTCCCGCCCCTTTACCTCCCGGTCGTCGTCCGAATCGAGCTCCCCATCATCCGTTCCGAACCGAGCCCTGGTGTCGCCCTCCATCTCCTCCTCCTCCTCCTCCACCTCTTCTTCCTCGTCGTCTTCGTCGTCGTCGTCCTCATCGCCGCTGGACTCCGAGCGACCCCGCTCAAACTCGAAGGGATGGGAGCGCGACCCCGAGCAGCTGGGGGCCCCCTCCATATCCCGGTCCTCATCGGCCGGGCCCAGGCCCTGGCCCTGGCCCGCTCCATCCCCGCCCGACAGCGCCGGGACCCCGGATCCGGTGTCTCCCTCCATGTCCACGGACCGGGGCTGGCACGGGTCGGTCCGCGGCCCGGGGCGCCTGCGTGGAACGCCGCGGGGCACGCTGGGAAATGTAGTTCTGAAGAGCGCACCGCTGCGCTACCGCACGTGCGCTGAGCCGCAACCGGTTTGTATTTATAGCTCCACGTTTCTGGTGGTTTTTTTCCCCTAATTTTTCCCCCCAAGCGACTCGCCAATGAACGCTTAATTTTTCCCGAAAGACTCAATCACACAATACCAGTTTCATTCAAAATAAGGTTTTAATTCTGTAACATAATTAAATTGCTTGGGTTGGAAGGGACCTTAGAAATGATCTAGTTCCAACAGCCTGCCATGGGCAGGGACACCTTCCACTAAAACAAATTCTTCAAAGCCCCATCCAACCTGTCCCGGAACAATTCCACGGCTGGGGCATCCACTGCTTCTCTGGGCAACCTGTGACAGTGCCTCACCATTCTCACAGTAAAGAATTTCTTCCTAATATCTAATCTAAACCTGCTTTCTGTCAGTTTAAAGTCATTCTCCCTTGCCCTGACACTACATGCCCTTGTCCAAAGTCCCTCTCCAGCTCTCTTGTAGCCCCTTTAGACACTGGAAGGTGCTGTAGCGTCTTCCTGAACTCTTTCATTCTCCAGGCTGAGCACCCCCAGTCCTCTCAGCCTTTCGACAAGTATCATCGAATCTCTGTAAAAAATGGTTACAAAAGAAGCAGTATTAGAAATATCTGGACAACTCAGTGGCCCAGCCGTAATTACGTTGATTGAGCCCCCAGTCCCAAGGCCCGGTGCACTGCAGGGAACCCGCCCTGCCCACAGAGCCCCGCAGTGCCTACACGGCCGCGTCCCCTCACACCGGCCCCGCAGTGCCTACACGGCCCCGTCCCCTCACACCGGCCCCGCAGTGCCCACACGGCCCTGTCCCCTCACACCGCCCCGGCTCCGCCGCCCCTCACCGCGCCCCCGCTGCCACAAAGCGCTTCCGCCAGCGTCGCAAAACGAAGCCGCGCGCGCTTCTGGAGGCAGCGGCAGCGCTGCCCTTCTTTTGCCCTCACTGTCGCAAGGGCGGCCGCGCCTGGCGGCAGCCGTGAGCCGCCGGCGAATGGAAGGCGGCGCAAGATGGCGGCGCTGCATGAGGAGCCGGCAGAAGTGGCGGCGGTGCAGCCGGACCCCGAGGCGGGGACGCCGCCGCCGCCTCCCGCGGTGCCTCCCGCCGCCGCTCCCGCCGCCGCCCCGGCCGCCGCGGCGGAGGGAGAGGCGGCGGGAGCCGGTGGGGATGCGGCACCCCCGAAACCCGCGGCGCCGGGCCCGGCCGCCTCCCCGGCGGCGTTGGACCGGCAGACGCTGGTGGCCGTACTGCAGTTCCTGCGGCGCAGTAACCTCCGCGAGTCCGAGGAGATCCTACGTCGCGAAGCCCGCCTGCTCGGCGACGACCTGGGTGCCGCCGCCCTCAGCCCCTCCAGCGCCGGGCTCCTGGGGGGCTCCGGCAGCGACGCGGACTCCGGCGAGGCGCTGCTTGGCCGGGGCACCGGCGCTGCCGCCGTCGCCATAGGAGGCAACGTCGCCACTGTCGCGACTTCCAGCCCCGGCGTGGCTGCAGTTGCCGCCGTGCCGCCGGGGAAAGGTGAGGCCCGCGGGACTGCGGGGTCGGTCCCTCCTCTGGGCGGGAACCCCGGGAAGTGGGGAGCCCGTGTGCTGCTCGCAGCCTCGGGGGCTCTCCATTAGGCTGGGACACAAGGGTCGGTGTCAGGTTCTCGGTGCCACCGAGAGTCTACTTCGGCGTTCCGGGAGGTCCCTGGATGTCTCATTTCTCCATACAATCCGTGGAGAAATCCGTCTCTCCTGGAGCAAGGGACCAAGGACAGGGTGTCTCTCGCATTTGCGGGGAGCACTGTGAAGCGAGAAGTGCTCCCGCTCGTATTTGTGTCCCATCACAACCGATCGAGTAGCGGGAACAGGAAGGTTCCATTGTAGTTAGCGGGGATTGTCCCGGGTCTGGCCGCAGGGATGAGAACAGAGGTCTCATGTACAGACTGCTGATGTTTTGGTGAAGGAGCTGTGGGATATTTGTACGCGAGGCTTTCTGCATTTCTTATCGAGTTTGAGTACTTGAGATGTCCTTTGGATAATTCAGTTCTAAGTGCTGTTAATCAAGGTGTTCTGTGAGGCAGCTTTACTGAATAATGGAATTTCAGGAACTGCTAGTCTGAGTTCCAGTGAGTGTACAGCATGAAGTCAGCTTGTTCCTGACATCACCAGATATGATCGTTTTTATATAAAAAACAAAACAATGGAACTGTGTAAAAACTGATGTGTAGAACAGGACTGTCAGTGTTGAGTGTCCCTGCTCCGTGATGGTTGTGTGGTGGTCTTGGTGAATTGTTCACTTAGTCTACTTAACTTGCTTATTTACTGGAAACAAAATAATTATAGTGGGTATGTCTTGCATTCTGCTCCTTGTTTAAGAGTTTCTAGCCCTAGCAGTAAAATAACTCATTCTGATGATGTTAGTGGCTTCTTCCTTTACACTTAAAATTGTGGCTGAATTAGGCACTAAGTGAGCAACAGTTGGCAGGGAAGGCCCAAAAAACTACTGGAGAGAATTGGCTGCTGGACCGATGTGCTCTCACCTGCATTGTTTAGCCTTGGTGCTGAATGGGCACAGGACGTGTTTTGCTCACCTGACCAGGGGGTTGTGGCCGCTGTTTGTTTGCTGGCTCTTGCAGACTGTCTGAGCAGCTGTTGTTGTTGCCTGGTGCTTTTGCAGTCGGAGGCGCGGTGGTTGTGGAGGACCAGCCGGACGTGAGCGCGGTGCTCTCGGCCTACAACCAGCAGGGGGACCCGACGCTGTACGAGGAGTACTACAGCGGCCTGAAACACTTCATCGAGTGCTCCCTGGACTGCCATCGGGCAGAGCTGTCTCAGCTCTTTTATCCTCTTTTCGTGCACATGTACTTGGAATTGGTCTACAATCAACATGAGAGTGAGGCAAAGTCTTTTTTTGAAAGGTAATTCAATTTCATTTGTACATTTCTGTTATTTTGTGTTTGCTACTTTGGCTAAATCTGTGAGCTATTTCTATGCATATACATGCGTATGTAATACTTTTCTTCTCTAAAGTTGAAGAGAATTGAAATCTCAGATAACAGTGCCATAGTTTGTAGTAACTGTTCTTAAATTATTTTCCAATCTCCTGTTAGGAAGATGTGCAAACTAGTGAACTGTGCATTGACAGAGTTTGAACCATGTTAATGGTGTGCTGATGCAGAAGTATCAATGAAGAGATTCTGCATTTTTAAGGAAAGATTGTGGGGTCAGTTTTTATCACTGGAAGATTGCACTGAGATGCCAAAATAATTAATGCTATAAGTATTTGCTGATATCATAGGATGTACATTGAAAATCTTCAAATGAGTTTAAAGAAATTAATTTCTGGCTAATCTGTAACTTTCTGTACTCTTACTATGTTTCACTTGTTTATCACTTGAGAAGAAAATAGGATTTTAATTTGTTTCATGGATTCAGACCAATTGCAAAATACTTCAATCCAAAAGTATAACTTTGTTTCCCTTTAAATGGTTCTATAAATAGTTAAAATGTCCCTTGCCACAACTATTTTATAGCAAGTTGAGTGACTAAACCTTTTACCATATCTTAAATTGCTTCAATAGATTTCATGGGGATCAGGAGTGCTATTACCAGGATGACCTGCGTGTATTGTCAAGCTTAACCAAAAAAGAGCACATGAAAGGTAACGAGACCATGCTGGACTTCAGAACAAGCAAGTTTGTGCTGCGCATATCCCGCGACTCTTACCAACTCCTGAAGAGGCATCTGCAGGAAAAGCAGAACAATCAGATCTGGAACATTGTTCAGGAGCATCTTTACATTGATATTTTTGATGGAATGCCTCGCAGTAAACAACAGATAGATGCTATGGTTGGAAGCTTGGCTGGGGAGGCAAAACGAGAGGCTAATAAAGCAAAGGTAGGAGACAAAGATTGTTGCACTTTTTACAAATCTCCCTGCTCTTTCAGGGAGATACCTTAATATAGATTGACAGTCATAACTTGAGATCTTAAAAGACAGCATGAACAGAACAAAGGAAGAGAACTGTACAAACAGGTGTTGACAGGAGTAGAGAAAGATCAAGATGTATTGCTGTCAGATGGATGAAACTGCTGGATCCTTTTGAGATACAACCTTGTGTTCAGCCCACTGAACTAAACTTAAACTAACTCATTAATTACTTTGGAGTTTTAAAATGGACACCTGACTTTTTGGCTTCCTCTTTTGTACAATAGATAGTAATTTTGACTTGCTACCACTTGTTACTAGAAGAGCTGTGTGTGTAGTACCACAGTACTATACAAATAAATGAGGTAGGGTGGGGATTGCACTTTAAGGAAGGACTGAGAGATGGTGGGAGAACTTAGAGTTGTCCAGATCAAGTTACCCAGTTGGCTGGGTAAACCAGAAGAAAATGTACTACATTCCTTATGGGCCAAGCAGTAATATATGCTGTAATATTAAACAGAGCAGCTGTAAAGGGGCAGCTCTATTGCTTGGACTACTATATTGAAAAGTTACCATTAAAAAATCTGGTTTTCAGTAAGAACAGCAATTACTTTTTTGTCTTGTGTGATTTTTTTATTGGCTGGTAGGTTTTCTTCGGCTTATTGAAGGAACCAGAGTTTGATGTGCCTTTGGATGATGAAGATGAAGAAGGAGAAAATGAAGAAGGAAAGCCAAAGAAGAAAAAACCTAAAAAAGATAATGTAGGGTCAAAAAGTAAAAAACAGGACCCTAATGCTCCTCCCCAAAACAGGTACCAAGGAAATGATGTGTAGAGAAGTTTTTAAAATTCAGTTTTGTCAAGCCAAATCTGCATCTCTGTTCACATGGCATTTTTTGTAATTTTGGCTGTTTTGGCTGTACACAGCTTTAGGTGTAAGACTTCTGAGGGAGGTCATGGAACCCTTGGCTTATAAGCCTCTGTCATTGTCCATCAAGTCAATCTAGATTTTCCTTGATGAACTTTTACTTGGTTACCCACTAATGTTTTCAGGTCATACTCAATTGTTTATCTTGTTCCAGTACCTGTCTGAAATTCTGAAAGCTACTGGCTCTCTTTCTCATCACTCTTCTACATAGTCGTTCATATTTTCTAATTCTTGTTTCTTATTTGAATACTGAGATATGAGGTTGCATGCAAAGGTTTCACTTTGTCTGGATTAACAGTAAGGAAGGTGTTTTTACTTTGTAAAAATCTGTGCTTCTTGTGTAGAATTCCTCTGCCAGAGCTGAAAGACTCTGACAAGCTGGATAAAGTAATGAATATGAAAGAAGCTGCGAGGCGAGTGCGTCTTGGGCCAGAGTGCCTGCCCTCTATCTGTTTCTACACATTCCTTAATGCTTACCAGGTTGGTAAAAGAGTTTGAGTAATAGGGCTAAGGGGATCAAAATTATGAGCATCACTCTTGCTAAAGAAAAAAAAATAATAGTGTTGGCAAGGGTAATTGGAGTATTTGGATTAAACATTGCCAAGTTTATGTTCCAAAATGTTCAAAATTCTCCTCAAAGACTCCTTAAACTATAAAATTTTCATGTTCCTTGGTTTTGCTTGGATTTGCTTGCTTGGATTTTGCTATAATTCTTTCTTTTGCTTTTCCTGTCCTAAGTATTTCCTACAGAACGCAGTAGATGTTTTGCACTGGAATACTGAAAAGCAATACTCTTTGTCACTTCTGACTGCACTTCATTCATAAACCTTTATTTTTAATGGGACAAGAATTTGTGTGTGTTTATGTTTATCCTACAGTAATTCACTCTATTTTTGTAAATGAGTCAAATTATCTTTTTAATAGTTCTTAGGATTTTGTTATATTTGCAATGTATAATGAGAGATTCAAACAGTATAACTGGATATTTGTGTGTAGGGTCTGACTGCAGTGGATATTACAGATGACTCCAGCATGATTGTAGGAGGCTTTGCTGACTCTACTGTCAGAGTGTG